TACTTTATTTATTTAATGTGTGTGTGGCCGGTTCAGCCCATCAGGGGGCGGGGCTGACTGGCATGTGGTGCTGGGGATTGAACCACGATCTCTGCTTTTGCTTAGCTTAGCTTGTTCTAAGGAGGTGCTTTAGACCACTGAGCCATCTCACCAGCCCCTAAGGTATCCAGTTTATTTGGTCAAACTTCATCCTCATTTCATTTCCTGCATGCACAATATGTCGATACAGTATGGGACATTCCTATTCCTTTGGCCCAGACAGCTTTTTTTTTTTCAGTTAGTTAGTACACTGTCTACAGGGTCCTACTACACAGATCAGACTCATGGTGATCCTCCTGTTTTCACCCTCTCAGTGTGCTCCAGGGGTGGGACCAGCACAGCAGACTGGGCATAAAACCCCCAGCCCCTGCCTAAGCAGGTGCTTTAATCTGCTGAGCTATCTGGCTAGCCCAAAGACAGCTTTGTTGAGCCTAGTGTCAGTGCACCAGGGTGGTGTCCTCACCTCCTTGGCCAACTTCCAGATCTCCTTAAGTGCCGAGGGGCGCGCTTCTTGAAGCCCACGCCGTGGGTGCGCTTGTGAATGTTCATTGTGTACTCTCAGGTCACTGATGAATTGGTGGGAGAACAACCCTTCTTCTCACCACCCCTCTTTGCAGGAGCCATTCTCCTGGGCCTAAGTTGTCCATTTATTATTTGTTCTGAAATATAACAAGAAAATATTGCCCCCCATAATAGCCTAAAATTGAATTTCGTATCAGGCAGATATGCCTTTTAGAATAGTAATCACTCTAAAGCTAGCCTTGAGGTCTTGGAAGAAACACAGAGTATTGGGCCGGCAAGATAGCTCAGCAGACTAAAGTGCCTGCTTAGGCAAGCTTGGGCAGGAGCAGGGGACCGTGGTTTGATCCCTGGCTAGCCCTGCCCTCAGGGTGGGCAGAGCCCCCCACTCCCCCCCCCAAAAAAAAAAACAAAAAAAAAAAAACAAGAACCAAAAAACTCAGAACATTGAATATGTACTCTTTAAAATCTTTTTCCAGTGCTGGAATTTGAGTCCAGTGACTAGTTCATGCTAGGCAAGCACTATACTGCTACTACTGAGCTATAGATCGCCAACCTAAAAAAAATTCTGTTTGAATTTCAGTGGACAGCCTATAAGATGGTCTTGCCTGCTTGCTTGTCAGCATGTGTGCCCTGCTCCATATTTGCTCGTAACCTTTTTTTTTAAAACATTTATTTATTGTATGTGTGTATGTGTGGCCAGCTCAGCCCACCTGGGGGCGGGGCTGGCTGGCATGTGGTGCTGGGGGATTGAACCGCGGTCCCTGTGCTTTGCCAAGCTTGTTCCAAGTAGGTGCTTTAGAACACTGAGCCATCTCTCCAGCCCCAGCTCGTAACCTTTTTATCTCTGCCTCCATCTCCATCTCTATCTCTCTCTTTCTCCCCAGTCTTGTGTAGTTCAAGCTGACCTTGACCTCACTATATACTACAGGTTAGCTTCTAATTCATGGGGATCCTCCTGCCTCAGCCACTTGTGTGCTGGGATTACAGTCATTGACCACCACACCTGGTTTAAGGAAGGTGTCTATTTATTTATTTATTTATTTAAATTAATTATTTTTTGGCAGAACCAGGGATTGAACTCAGGCCCTTGCGCTTGCCAGGGAAGCGCTTATTCCACTGAGCCATCTCCCCTGCCCCAGGAAGGTGTCTTTAAATGGAAATACACATGGGATAAGGTCCTGTACCAATGGAGAGGTCAAAGGTTGGCAGTTACTTGCCATGAGACCTTTCCTGCAGGACTCCTTCTGAGTGCACTAGCTCTCTGTGTGATGCCTTGACATTGCTGTGTGACTCGGGTTGGATTATTGGTGTCTTTTTAGGATGTTATCTTTCCATATTCACAGCTCCTCAATGCTGGCTCACTGAACTAGGAAAATAATCTTGAATGAATAAATGAAAAATTTTCCCAAAGCCATAGTTAGATGGATATTAGGTACGATGTTGTTTTCTGTGGGTGCAAACAGAAGCAGTATGATTGTATTGGTTTTCTTGATCCTAACAACTGGTCCCATTTCATTTTTACCATTTTTATTTTATTTTATTTATTTATTTTTCTGTCGGAACTGGGGATTGAACTCAGGCCCTTGCACTTGCCAGGCAAGTGCTTATTCTTGTGACCTATTTCCCTGGCTTCTACCATTTTTAATATAGGTAATTAAATATTGGCTTAGTGTTTTTTTTTTTAAATGTGTTTCGTACAGAGTCTGCAGGGTCTCATACAGATTGGACTCGTAGTGATCCTCCTGTTTTCAGCCTCCCAACTGCTGGGATTATTGATATGTGCCACCATGGCTTAGATTTTTCAAAATGTGATTTAAGAAAGAAAAATATATGCAACATTGCTATTGTCGATTTAGAAAGTAACCAAAGATTGGATGTGGTGGCACACGCCGGTAGTCCCAGCACTTGGGAAGCTAAAGACAGGAGGATCACTATGAATCAGATCTGTGTAATGAGACCCTGTACGAAATACATTTATTTATTTATTTTATGAAATACATTTAAAAAAAGATGGTGGTGTATGAGC